GCATAATCAGTGAATCTTACCCGCCTAAAATAACTTATCGAACAGTACTAATAGACGCTAAGGGGTAAAAACAACCCCCCGTCAATACACGAGGACCTGAAGGCGTAAACATAGAGCATAAAGCCTGACCACTACACTCAAGAGTGGAACCAGGGGGATAAAGAATAAAGAATTAATCCTAAACATTAAAAAATACAGAGTGAAGAATGAAGCATGACACAACACGAAACCCTCATAACCCGACTGCGCAATACGCTGGATAAATCCCCGATGAAATCAATGCTTACACACTGCAACCTCACTGCGTACAATAGAAGACTGGGGACCGAGGAATCCAGGTAGGACATATAGGAAGAGATGTACTGTTTAACAAAACTCAATAAGATAGGAGCCCTCAGGATTACACAAGCCTAAGCAAAACATCAGGGTAACAGATGGAAACCAGACCTAAGCAATAATGGGAGCAACATAGAGCCTCAAGCAGGAGGCCAACAGCAGAGCCTAAGCAGTACGAGATAGAAACCATATAATAGCGGAAAGGGACAAGGACTGACAACCTACTTCTGAGATATACATTTCCAATATCTACGCCTAAGCATTGCATGTGGCACACAGTGCATGTAGCATGGAACTTACTTCATCATCACTGAGCCATAAGCCCTACCTGAGACCCCATACAGATTAAATCCCAGGAATTAAAACAGGAGGAACAACGCTCAGACTTCAAGCCCTAAATCCAAAATCAAAAACTTAATCATTCTGGGCTAAGAGATATACCATAGGGAATGAAAGCTAAGAAGTTAAAAATAGGAGCCAGGGCAATAACGGAAGAAATATAGCCAAGGAAGGATGACCAGACAGGTCCTAGAGAATAAACTCTGAAATTAACGCAATAGTCTTGCACCATGAACATGAAGCCTAAATGTGCACATGGGGCGTCGAACCTGGAGGCGAACCCCTAAGAGATTGAGTCGTAATAGAAAGAGGGAGTCTCAAAATAATAAGCCTTAAACCGAACAGCATGGGCAGCAAGAGAAGAGAAATTATAACTTGCGCCAAACAGCTAGGGAGGGGGAGAAGAATCCTCGAGACCTAACAATAAAGAGTACAGAATAATGCAGGAATAACCAAAAGTAACAAAAGAGTCGGGGGCCTACAGCTAGGGATACCCCCTAAGAGCGAAACCTAAACTCATAAGCTATAAACAGAAACCATACAAACTACAAGGAACAGACAACCGTGACCCTGAGTTCACCAACCTATAAAATCCAGGTGCTTCCTTAAAACAAGAAAACCGCAGCCCTAAATACTAAACTTCCATGCTTGAGAACAGAATCTAAATCCACCAAACAGATTCCTGGATATTAAGTCATACCATATGAAATCTAGGCCTAAGGAACAGGGCCACCAAATTAAAACCAAAGAAGGAAAACAGGAAAAGAACATGAGTAATCAACATGAAACCAGGAAATTAGCCAGCAACATTTCGTCCGTAGAAGCCAAATTAAAGAAGGACGCATAATAAGATGCAATACCTACACCTCCAAGTATGAAGCAACACCACTAGCCTTAAGGAGAGAGTACTAAACCAAAAACCAGGAGGCATAATATCCTGACATGCTCCCCGTATTACCAGTAAGTGAAACACTTTTATAGTACAGCTACGTGGAAATATGAACAACTAAGAACTGGCCTCTGTAGTAGTAGAACATAAAGAGTACGCAATAGAACCTCTGGGATACACCCTGAGGGGTAACACCTAAATATTACATCGCAGAAGGTACGCCTTGAACACAAAATCCTGCATCGAAGGACTATAAAGTCTGCAAATCCCAAAATCCAAGACAACAGAATGCCTGCTAAGCACAACCCGCACAACCTAAAGATTAAAGGATAAATGCAAAAACCTAAACCTAGTAGCCTAAAATCATTGGACAAAAACTATCGCCAAAACATAAGCCCAAGAGACTACCCCTTAAATTTGAGGGTATCGAGGCAAGGGAACAAATATATCACCTAAGTCGTAAAATCTGAATCCCATCGCAGAATCCCCCAAACCGCAAGCTAAAAGAAACCCCCCGGAATACCTGAGATGTGAAGAGTAAGGCATTCTATCCAAGAGTGCCAGCAGGTCAATAACGAAAAAGAGAAACTTTAGCACAAAGGCAGCATGCAGGAATCGGCAAAGAAGAAGCCCATAAGCAAAATTAGAAAATGAGGCAAATTCGCCACCTCTACAGGGGCGGTGGCCATAAAGATCAGCGTACAAATATGAAGATTAAGCACCAAAGGATCAAGCCTATGCATTAGCACCTGAATCCTAAGCCCCTAAACTAGAGCTCAACCACCACAACTCTGCGCGGTGCGCCCGGGACTCTAGGTCTTGGAAGTGGAACACTGAACACTAAAACAGTAAATCATACAGCTAAGGCCTACACCATCAAGAATAAACCTAAACACGCGGACCCTAAAGCATAAAACAAAAGTACTCAATCCTAAAATCTATAACCTGAGCTCTGAACCGTAAATCCTAACACATATGAACAAGAATGTGGACACTGAAACCAAGACATGAGCCCTAGACCTTGAACCCTGAACCACGGGCCAGAAACCTAGTATCTTCACTTAAATAAAGCACCAAATCCCTAAGCCCTAAACCGTAACCCCTAGAGCGTGAATCCTAAAGGGAGAACCTGAACCCTGGAGCATGAAACATGAAAATTAAAAGATAAATCCTAAACGTTGTACCTAAGAACTGACGCCTAGGTATATAGCCTGAGCTTTAGGGGATAATCCCTGAAAGATACTATAAGCAGTAACTCGTTGAAACCAAAAGCCTACCCCCTAAATCCGGAACGCTAGAGCCCGAAGAGTAACAAAACAACATAACCTCTAACACCAGATCCACTGATGCCAAGTACCCCAGCTAAACAAACTAAATAAAAAATGGAGAAACCCAAACCATAATCCCTAGGCCATACTCCCTGAACCCAAAGAAATGAATTATAACCCCTAAAATTCAATTCTAAATCCTGAACCCCAAGGGACACCCCCCTATAACTACAGCCTCAGAGATAAGCATAAGGACTGGATCCTGAAAGCAGGACCGAAACCCTAAAGCAGTAACTGACACCTAAAGCTCAACTAATTAACCCTAGAAAATGAGGACTGAAACCTAAAGCGGCAACCCAGGATCCTAAAGCCGACACGCAAAAAACTAAACATTGAAGCCTGACTGGTGCAATGAGAAACCTACAGAATAAACCTAAATCCGTATAAAATAATCCTAGCTCCTGAAACCAGAGCCCCCAAGGCCTAAATGCTAATGCCTGAAGCTTCAACCCTGAACCCGAAAGCCTGATCACTAGACAGGACACCCTAAACCATGATGCAGGAACCCTAAATCTAAAGCGTACACGCTGAACCGTAAACCCTAGAAAATAAAGCTTAAACGCTAAAACCTGAACCGTGACCCCTGAGTCCTGAACCATAAACACTAAACCCTGAAGCATAGAGCCTGATGCGCAAACCCTAAGCAATGACAACAGGACAGTGAACCATGAAGCCTGAAAATACGTATAGGAACCTAAAATATAAGCCCTCAAGCCTAAACGCTAATCCTAAACCCTGAATCCTGAATCGGAGACGCTAAACCGTAAGCCATGAAACCTAAACACTAATCCATAAAATCAAAACCGTAAACCCAAGATCCTAAATTCTAAATCGTCAAAACTGAACCCTAACCTCTGAACCTGAAACGCTAAACACTAAGCCTTGGACCCTAACAAATGAGACCTAACCCCTAGCCCACTGACAACCCCAACTAAACCCGGAAGCCTAAAACCTAAACCCTAAACCGTGAACCCTAAGACTTTAACGCCAAAACACAACCCCAACAACCCGATCCCTGAAAGCCGAACCCCCAACTCTTGACCCCCAATCGCCTCCTACCACCTCAAATGTAATCCTGCCCGCTAAACCCTCATTCTGAAACTCTCAGATTTTAATTCCCTCCTTGCCTCGGTGAACTTCATATTCCCCCCCCTACATTTCGAGGACCGTTTTCCGCTTGTCCAGGGCAAAGTCCCGAAGGCGCCTCCCCTTCTGCTTGAAGTCATAAGGTCAAATCGTCCTGTACCTCGTCATTCCTCTGTTCCCTCCTAAAAAGTCGTTGGATGTCCCACCCCTCGCTAGTCGCCGTTTCCCCGTTTCAAGGTTCTCCACTCCTTAGTACCCATGTGGCGAAAAGGGGAGTGCACTTTATTCCTTCCCCTCTCTTATACCCTCGTTTTAAAACCGTAAGGCAGCGTCATTGACTCCGACTTCCTTTCCCAAGGGAAGGACGGTTCCCCGCCGTCTTCATCACATGATGAGAATAGGGGCAATCTTACGCCGCAAAATCCGGTTCCTTCCTCTATAGTTGGCATATATTTACCAGCTCCCTCTCCTGAGAATTGATGATCTTCTCTAATAATCCCAACGTCATGTTAGGCTCCTTGAGACCTTAGCTCTTCGGGGCACCCTGGTCCCAACTTCCTTCAGTCCAGATTTGAAGTCAGAGCATAGACTATGTTTGCGCCGTTTCCCCTTAACGTGGCCTCGGTACTTCCATTAGTAGTCATCTGCTGATTATTCCTGCAGGTTGGACAGAGAATATCCTAAGACTCTGGGGGACAATTCGGGAATATTTCTCTTGTGTAAATTTCTCCTCCTGCCGCCCAAAATTCTATATAAACCATAGACTGCCAGACCACTCAAGAAGGTGCTTATGACTCCTCCCACTACTGCAGTCGTTGGGAAGGCTTGTGTTACAGCTCCCCCCTCCCGTGATTTACTCACAACCTGTATTAGGATTAATTTAATGAGATATATTGAACTACTCTTAACGTGTCTATTCCAATTTCTAAGGAATAAAACAATATGAACTCATCCCTCGTCTAAGTAGAGCGCTTCTTGTTTTACCTTCACCTTTTCCTCTACTTGGTCCAGAACTTGATTCATTTTCTCGATCTCCTTGTCCTGAAAAACGAAATTTTCCTCACCTGAAGGCACTATGGTATCTTCTGATAGACTCGTGCTATATTTTTCTACGGTGTCTGCTTCCCTGTTACTCGTCTCCTCCTGCAGATCGCATCTTAGTGATTTGTCCCCACTAGATACTCCGAATATACCTTCGGTTATTATCTCATAGACATCGCGACCAGAGAGCTGGAATATTCTCCCGCCTGACCCGTTGTTTTGGGCTTGAGTGAACCAATCTTTCATTATCCTTTTAGCCAGATTCTTTCCACCCCACTCGGCAAGTTTTTCATATATGTCTTGACATAAGTCACTTTTTCTCTTGTTATAATAGTTCTTGGTAGCCGCGGTCGATGTCAACCCTGCTGTTACCAATATTAGTGTTACGATCTCCATACAGCTCTTTAAACCCCTCTGATAATCCTGAGCCATACTCAAGCTTGATCTGCTTCTGTGATCTATCCACGCTAACTTTCCCTTCTCAAAGATACACTCTTTTGAGAGATTTCCTCGCTCTATACCCTCTATAAACTTATCATAGGTGCAATTACCTCGGAAGATAACCTCACCCTGTTTTCCTCTTTCCTTCGATAAAGTACTTATCCATGCCTCCAACCATACACAGATTGTTCTACTCATCACTGACACATTGTTTAGAGTAGAGGAACTCTCGTGGGGGAATATCTTGTTCAGGGTTGTGGTCCTAGTGTTTAACACCTGTCTCCTCTTGGGACTTAGGTCACATACTCCCCCCCCTGCTCCGTCATGCTCGTTGCAGGTTCTGTCTTTGAAGGACTCGTCCAATCTTTCCTTCATATATCCATGTAGAAAACTCTGCATTTTTCCGGAAGATCTTATACTGCCCCCTCGTAGAATTGGCCGGAACTTCCTAAGTGGGTTATCACAGTTTGGTGGCTTAGATTGCTCTAATCTATGGTGAAGGCCCCCCTTTTCCTGATCCGTGCCCTCTCCTACATTACTCCTGGGGGCCTCGCTCTATTCGTCCTCCCCTAATGTCTCCTCCGTCGGGAGTGCCACTACTGCTGCCTCTCCGGCTGCACGTCTGCCTTCGCTGCTTTAACTCAAATCAAATCTCCGTTCCCTCTTAAGTCTCTTCTAAAGGCCTGCGCCTAAGGTTGCGGAACTTGCTCATTGTCTCCGATTGAAGAGGGCCCCCCCCTTTGTCCGTCTTGAATTGGTCTCAATCTTCTGCCCCCCTGATTCACATCTGCCGAGGGACGTATCCTCCCCCCCACTTCCCCCTCTACGGCTCCTTTCAGATAGGTAGAGCTCCCTCCTGCGCTGGTCTCATCGGCGGCCGTACTCTTTTTTAGTCCACACAACAACAACTCCTGCCACGTTCGAAGTTTCTCAAAAGCAGCTAATGCTGCCCCTCATTTCCAAATCGAAATAAAGTCGTAAGGGAGATTTCCCTGCTTCCTCGTCCTGCTCTCTAATCTCTTGCCCTAAACTTAGAGATCCCCCGGCATTGTCCTTGGGTGTCGGCAATCCTTCTGAACTTAGGTCAATTATTAGAATCTTTAGGCCCAATTAATCACTTATTCCTCTCCTCCCTGCTGATGGGTAATCCTCTTTGAAGTTGGGCTGCCGCTTCTAACACATCTGGGGCTACTCCCCTATTCTTACCGGGCCTCCTCCGCTACGGGATCCCCGTAGTTGGAAACTCATTACCTCCTTAGTCCTCATTGAATTCCTGCCCGTACGCCCTTATGTTGCCTGAGATTCCTCCTGCCGTAGGTTGCCCCCTCTATATTCTGTGGTACCTCTCCCTACGTACCTCAGTGCTAATCAGCCTGCCTCTCCGGGCTCTCCGCTTCTATTTCTCGCCCTACTGCCGCTTCCGTACCAGACGCCAATCTCCTGGGTTATTTTGATCCTATACCATGCTTCTCAGGTTATTGGGCCTTCTGCGAGAGCATGCCTTATACGTCCTTCTCTCAACTAAAGCATTCATCTGCCTAGGAGTTCCTCTTTTCTTTCGAGCAACTTCCCAGATATTTCGCTGACTCCATTTGTACTATTCGCTTCTTGTTATTTACCTGAGCCTCTACACGTAATCCACCTAATCGGGAGAGTGCATGAGAATGCTGCCGTATTTTCTACACTCCCCCGACCAATTAAGCGAATACTCGTCCGCAAGATCTCTAACTCTTGGGGTGTTGAACCTCCTCGCTTCTTCTACAGGGGGATGGGCTCCGGCGCGCTGGTTCATGTCATGAACCTGCGACCCCTGGCCCCTACGGGGGCTGGGATTTGTTGCTATTCATCTATCTAGTTGGTCCTGTGTTATATATATATTTAATAATTTCCCGATACATCTACCTGTTCCTTTCTGTCTGGGATTGACTGACCTCACTCTCCGGTCATCCTCTCCTTGTCATATATCCACGGGTATTATCCTTTTCTCTTATTTAAAGATATCTGAGGTCTCTACAGTTCAAAGGCTTATTTCCATTATAATTGATCTGTTAAAATCAATTCTTCTGGTTCTTGGTACTGGAGAGTTCTCCTGCTTCATCTTCTGGAGGATTGCCCTGCCCCTTGGGGGCTTCCCTAAGGGGCTGAGGTGAATTCCTCGCCCGATATATAACACCACTTGATTCTTCCTAGACTATTGCTTCCTCTGTTGACTCATTATGATCCCCCGCTCCTCCTATTGGAGGCGTCACGTTCCTCCTCCATTACTATCTATCTCCTATGATCATTTGGCAGAATCTTCACCTCTATAGCCTGAAATATCTGCCTGTCTGCCCCTTATCCGAATCCGCCGCTCCCCTCCTTATTCGGCTGTTACTGGATAGGCCTCGGCAGCCCCCACCTAGGCTCCTACTTCATTACACG